TTTTAAAAAAAAATATTTAAGAACTTGTCAATTATATCATCTATATAGTTAATTAATCAATTAATTAATTATTGTAGTGGGAATATGCAAATAAATCATTTAAGACAATACATTATATGCTTCAGTAATTCATATTAGTTTGTGTTCTCACTATCCGTGAAAAATAACTTCTGGTTCTCATTTTTTTTATTTAAAAATAAACTATTTTAAGCTTTTTCTTTTTATCAATCAACACTGTTAGATTTAATATATATATATATATATATATATATTATAATATTTAAGATATATTATATAATATCATAATATGTATTATTTTGTAATATTTAATAATAATGTTATAAATTATATTGAAATAATTACTATTAAAAAGAGTATTACGATAAAATTTATATTATTTTACTTGTACGGTTTATTGTTTATCAAACAATATATAAGTTAAAAAATAAATTATATTGTAATTTAAAGAATTATTTTATACTGTTTTTCTTCTTCTTATAAGGTAGATGAGTAGATGACTTGCGTCCGGTCAGGCGTAGTGAAATAGAAAAGAGGATCATGCTACTATGATATACTCCCTTATTATTATTTAAATTGTGTCGGAATTTTGAAATTGTGCTGCACAATATTTAAAACTACCAAATTTTGAGCTTAAAATTTCTCGTAATAATGATATGATAACAATGGATTATGGATACACAAAAAGACAACAGTCTCAATACATACAGAGTATTAATCATAAATTAGGAATAAAATATTGATTTTTTTTTATATAGAGCACATGGGACTGACAATACCGTTCCAGCAGCTACGAGCAAAAAAAACAAAAATTTTGAGACCGAACATCATTGATAATTTGATATCCAATCTTGTATGATTAATCCTTGACGCAGGTCTTTTATTATAGGTCAAAATGTATTTACAATTAATATAATTGATCAAATTTAGATTCTAAGACACTCCTATATCCCATATAGAAATCTTTTGCTACACATTTGACTAGAGAATCCGACTCTACCATGTAAATTCAATATACGTTATCTTGAGGCACATTTTCCTATCATATATACACAAAACAATAAATAAAGAAAAGATTAGGTTGGATAAACCTTGTTCCTAAGCCTTCTCCCTTATCTTGTTTCTTGCACATAAAGAAACCTTTTCTTGAAATAAGAAAGCATAAGAAATTTTTTATGAAGAGTTCATTTATTTTTGCTCACATGAGTTTTATTTCTTGAAAGAAACGTTTTTCTCTCTCAAAAACCTTTTTTCTTTCTTTAAGACAAAGTTAGAACTCTTTATAAAGGATCTAACCCTTCTAAAGTAGGAGAATTGTACTTTAGAAAATAAAATACAATAATAATCATTGATTAAAAAATCAATGTTGATATTATAATTAATTTTAAATTTTATTTTATAATAATTTGATTTTATCATAAATCTTAATCGTTGATTTTACAATCAATAATTATGAATATACTTTATCCTCTAAAGTATACTCCTTCACTTTAAAAGAGTCAAATCCCTTCAGAAAATGTGAGGTGTGTTGGGTTTATATAGAAAATTTTCACGATGATGTAATCAATTACTTTGATTGTATAACCAATTACATTGATCATGTTGTAGATTAGAAGGGAAAAAAAAGTAATGTAGTTAATTACATTGTCACAAAATCAATTAAAATGAATCTTTTTGCTTTCTAACTTACACTTTGTTACTTATGTAATCAATTACCAAAATTACCGTAATTAATTACAGTAGTAACTAGGTCAAATGTTTGAAAATATGGTATATCATTTGAAAAACCCATTAAGCATGTTATTTATAACTCAACAACAAAACATCTCTAACTCTTATGTAATTAATTTCTTTGTAACAATCAATTATACTAAAGTATTAATGATTTCCAGAAACTCATGTACAATCAATTTCTTTGTTTATGTAAACAGATACATCAAACTAGAGTTGATAAAAAATCTCAGACCTGTCTATGACCTACGTTAACCAATATAAATTTGAGCTTGTCAGTTTAAAAATCTTGAGCTTTGGATTGTTGAAATAAAATTTAGCGATTAGGCATGGGTAAAACTAGACATTGCAGGTTATAGTTAAAAAGAACTATTGTAACCCGCATCTAATCAAATAAATTTAATATAAAAAAGTAACAACTTTAATGATTAATTTTATAATTGTCATTCCACATGCATGTATTTGTATCACCACAATTGAGTGAAAAAGTGTGTTACCTCATCATTTCATGATTCTTATTGTGTTAATTATGAATTACTACTATTTTCTCTTCCTCCAATCAAATCAAAATCTCTCTTTTTACTAGTGATTCATTAATTTCGACCTTTTTATCTCTTGTATCCACCACACCAAAAATGCAAAATTAATTAAATTGTTGCTTCATTATCTCTTTCCTCCAAGATTAAGCTCTTTGCTACAAGAGATCACTTTTCTCTCAGGGTAGCTAGTAGTGATGAAAAACACTAAAATAGTTGATAAGCTGGTGCCAATACCTTCTTAAATTTAACTAGTTAATTACAACCCGCTCATATTAAAATTCGAGCAAATCGACTAGTTACACGGTTAGAATTAGGGTACAAAACAACTATAGATGGTTTTGTTTAGATGAGGATTTTTTTAACTTAAACCCAACCAAAATCATCCAATGCTTAAGCTTACATCAAACCATTATGAACTTGGTGAAAAAACCAAGTGTTAATGTAGTCGATTACTCTACTCTTGTAATCAATTATATCGGACTGAATTGTCTTGAATCTTTAAGCTTGATTCACTCTTGATTATTTGCAACTTGGTTGCTTTTAGTTTATAAAAACCATATTTAGTTGACTTTAATTATTTATAGGTAAGGGAGGTTAACTTGGCCTATCTACCTATCTAATTGACCAAGATTACGCAAAAATAAATAAATCTATCTTATTACAACATGATATTGCTTAATCTTTTTTGACTCCTTGCATCATCATATGAAAAAGCAAAACACTAAGCATTTTTTTCAGCTTCATTTTCTTCTTTTAATCACAAAAGGTTTGGATTGGATCATCGAATATCTAATTGACCAAGACTACACAAATAGAAAAATAAATTTATCCTGTTATAATATGACACTTCTTTTATTTTTTTTTATATTCATTTCACCATCATGTGAAAGGGCAAAACATTAAGCATTTCTTTCAGCTTCATCTTCTTCTTTTAATCACAACAAATTTGGACTGAGTCATTAAATATCTAATGAAAAAATGTTTTGAAAAAAAAATAAATGCGATTTTTTTCTCAAAATTATAGACAATATTGTTATAAAGAAATATAAATTACATACTTGAGTGCATCTGACTTACACCAATTAAATAACAACACAAATTATAAAAACTAACATATGAATAATTGATTAAATCATACTACTTTGTCTATAATAATAAAAAGAAAATTAGGTAAAAAGATGAAAATTTTAAATTTTCAATTGTGAGGGTTTATTTTTTGAAACATTGAATTTGAAACTAAAATGCAAAGAAATGTCTCAAAGTGATGCACAATATTTACTGTGTTAATCAATAAAAAATACAAAAATAACAATACATCAATAGTTGGTTTGATTTGGGTTGATTTTAATTTCAAAAGTATGAACTTGATATTGAACCAATTGTCATATGATTTCAATTGGTTTAGTTTAGGTCCAACCCAAATTTCAAAAAAAAATTGAACCAATTTAATTGGTTTGCTTCATATTATTGGGTTTGTTGAGTTTACTTGAATCAGGGAACACATCTATTTTATATATTTTTATTTTACTCAAAATTAGTTTTAAATATAGGTTAATTACACCTTTTGGGTTCTCTTTTGTAAATTGAAGAGATTTTAGAGATCCTTCATGACTTAAAGTGTACCTTAGTTGAGCCAAGCCTTAAGTCTAGCTTCTTAACTAATGAGTCAACCATTTAAAGACTAAGTCAAAGAACTTTGCTTAGTGTGGCATCAACTCTCACTAAGCAAAAGCCCTTGATTGTCCTATTTTAATTTTGAGGGTCTTATAGCGAGATTTTATGTATCAGAATTATTTTGTAGGACACTCACTTTTGTACCTTCATTATTCTTCTCAAAAAGACTTCCTTAGAGGCTAAAGTAAAAGTTGTATGCTCCTAGAGATTGAGGAATAAGACACTCACTTTTGTACCTTCATTATTCTTCTCAAAAAGACATTATTAGAGGCTAAAGTAAAAGTTGTATGCTCCCAGAAGTTCTCATTCCTCAACTTCTTCTATTCTCCACAAATCCCGGTAATCATTATGATTATGTGTAGTTAATTTCTCTTTCGTTGAAATTGAATGTAACTAGTTGAACCTCCTCATATATTAACTTGTGGTTCCTTTATGTTTTATTTTGTTATTTAGTATTTTGCTCTATTTTTAATACTCTCTTGATCATTGCTATTTTGAATTGATTTTTTGCTTAATCACGACTATCTCGAAGAAGGAATAAAATTAAAGGGACATTTACATATTTTTATTAAAAATAGAGAAAGGAGGCATACTTATTATAAATGAAAGGTGTGTACATCCCATCTCAAAGTACAATTATAAATCAATTCGATTAAATTTAATTGAAGTAAATCTTAAAATAGATGAAACTTAATTCAATTCAACCTATTAACACTTTTATCAAAATTACTTTTGAAAAACATTTTTTTTTATAATTTTATGAATTAAAATGGTTAATGTAGGATTGAAATAACAATAACGCTATATAGTACGATATTTTTGACAAAACTAATACAAATCTATTCGTTTAAATTTTATTGGAAAATATTAATTCATGCGATACGAATTTGCACAGAATAACATTTTTGTTAAAATAATAATAGTCATTTTTCTGATTTTAAAATAAAATAAAATTTTTATAATATAGAAATAAATTAAACTTACCGTTATCAATGGTGATAATTAAGTCGATGCATTACTCGTTACTCCTAGTATTAGTAATTTAGTTTTTTGTTAGACAGAACAGAAGTATTGAAGTAGAGCTATTTGAGTAACATTCATCTTGTTCCTCTGTTGGTGGCTTCAGGTTCAGGTTCCGCTTCAAGTTCAAATTCTCAGTGAAACCAATTCAGTTCAGTTAAAATTTCAAATCCGAAGCGAGATTCGCCATGGAGAGGCTTCAGCGAATGTTTGCAGGTGCAGGGGGAGCGCTAGGGCACCCTCCCCCAGATTCCCCAACTCTCGATTCCTCTGAGCAGGTCTACATCTCCTCACTCGCGCTCCTCAAGATGCTCAAGCACGGTAAACTCACAAAGCTCCCGTTTTTAACCCAATCGATTCGTGGGGTACCCGATTTCGAAATTAGGGTTTTCGTGTTTTGTGATAACAGGAAGGGCCGGGGTTCCCATGGAGGTGATGGGTTTGATGCTGGGAGAGTTCGTGGACGAGTACACCGTCCGTGTGGTTGATGTCTTCGCAATGCCCCAGAGTGGCACTGGTGTTAGTGTTGAAGCTGTTGATCATGTCTTCCAGACTAATATGCTTGACATGCTCAAACAGACTGGACGGTATGGCATTTTTTTTTTAATGATTTGTTTGTGGATTCATTGATGTTAGTTAGTTATTACTTACTTGTGTTGCAGACCTGAGATGGTTGTTGGCTGGTACCATTCACATCCTGGATTTGGCTGTTGGCTCTCTGGTGTTGACATCAATACCCAGCAGGTTCAATTTCATTTTTTTTTTCTTTTAAACGTTTTTGGTGATTGTTGTGTTTGTATATCTTGTTTCTGTATCTACAGCTCAATTTGAAGGATTTGTGTGGTGGGTGATGCTAGCAGCTAGTTAGTTTTGATTTTAATGATTTTTCTAGTTTCTGAAATTATGGATTAGAATTCTTAATCTCGTAGTGCAAATAGGGTTCTCGCTGTTTCTGTTTTTTTTTTTTCCTAGTTTCAACCTTTTTGTTGAACAATGTTTGGAATTTGGTTGCTCACTCTTTCTTTTGGAAGAATGGTATGGGATGTACAATAGTGAATCGAACAACATATCCAACTTTAGTCAATGTGCTGTGCTAACCGTCAGACATTAAAATTGCTATTGTGGCTTTGATTGTTTGCTGGTTTTTGGTTTATGAAGCTGATGCCTAAACTATATGATTTGTTTCCCTTAGAAGCAATGTTGTCAAGATCTCTGAGATCGCATGATCTTATGATCTCGCACCCTTGTTCTAAGCTGGATAGTGCATGGAATTGTGACTGGGTGAGATTGCAGCAAGATTGAAGCAAAATCATGGGATCAGATTGATCTCAGGAGTTGGGTTTTCTTGGTTAGGTTGCATAACCTGGTTGGCTCAAACCCTTTTTAAACCCATTTTTTGGCCCTAAAATGCGTTTTCTGCTCCCTACTCTCTGTGGGATGTCTCTCTCGAACAAGCATTCCCACAGCTGCACCTTATTCTCTTTTGCTCATCTCTGTCTTATTCTGAAATCTGATCCTGAACTATTGTGTACCTGTGCCTGTGTGGCTATCTCTCTCGCACATCATGTCTCTCATCTCTCTCACACCACATCCCTCTGGTCTCTCTCCCACATCATCTCTCTTAACCCTTTCTGTTCTATAGCTGGTTCCATGTGGCCTGCATATCTTCAAACGTGTCTTATTTGTTAATTATTTAAGAGAAATTCTTAAATGGACTTATTTGAACTTTAAATTACTCAAATAGATCGTATGACATTTCTTTTTATTACACCAAACCCTTATTTGATCTGGTTTTCTTTGTCTACGATCATAAAATAATCCTTGGTTTGATGTTGTCATCTATAGTCTCTCTCTCTCTCTCTCTCTCTCTCTCTCTCTATCTATATATATATATAATGTTGTCATTTACATTTTTCAAAATCTATAATTTTACATTTGTGTAGGATCTTAAGATCCTTGTTATGATCCTCCATTTTACGATCTTTTGACATCCCTCCTGGCCTCCTGTTTCTAAGTAGGATCTTGATCTTGACAACATTGCTTAGAAGATGATGCCACATGAACTATTCTTTGTGCTAACTTTGCAGAAATAGCAATGTAAAATGAGTTTGGACTGTGGATAATTTGAGGACTAAATTGTACAAAATTTAAATCAGGGACCAAAATTGTCAGCTAGATATGTTTGGGCTTGAAATTGCCATATTACTCGCCTATTTTTAAAAAGAGATCTCAGATTCATTTAATGAAGGAAAATTTTAGATTTGTTTATGATGTTCCTAGAAAGTCAATATTTGTTAGTAAGGAAGCTTGCTCTGATCCCCAGAATATGGAGCTGTTCATTTTGATATACAAGGTTTCTTAAGTTATCAGTGGAAGCAAGCAATTTTCTTGCTAATTGAAAATAGTGTCTTGATATGTACTTCCAAGTGCCAATTGTTGTCTATTTCATAAAATTTATATTGCAGGTAATTGAAATTTCCAGTTAAGACTGGGCATTCGAATTAAATGCAATATTCTTATTAACTATTATTGTGGTTCTTATTACCATGTTTCCGCTGATTAGTATGATTAATTTGCTCGTCTATGTTATTTCATGCAGAGTTTTGAGGCTTTGAATCAGCGTGCAGTGGCTGTGGTTGTTGATCCAATACAAAGTGTTAAAGGCAAAGTGGTGATCGATGCTTTTCGGCTGATCAATCCACAAACTATGATGCTTGGTCAAGAACCAAGGCAGACAACATCCAATCTAGGACATCTGAATAAACCATCCATTCAAGTGTGTTACCCAAAGCCTTTTTTTTATTTAATTTGTATATATTGTTTATTTTTTTGGAAGCACTTGTTCGGCATTTTTTTTAATTTCTTCTCTCTTATCTTTATTGGGCCTCTGTAGGCTTTGATTCATGGGTTGAACCGGCATTACTATTTCATAGCCATTAATTACAGGAAGAATGAACTTGAGGAAAAGATGTTACTTAATCTTCACAAGAAGAAATGGACTGATGGTTTGACACTTCGACGGTTTGATACACATTCCAAAACTAATGAACAAACTGTACAGGTAATTTAATGATTCAAAGTGCAAGGTAGATTGGTGCTTGTCTGTTACTTATAGAATCCCTGCATATATTTTGTTTTATTTAAGCTAGTTTTAAGATTTGAAAAAGGTTCATTATCTTTTAGTAGATTAAATAATGATAAATATCAATTAATTTGATAATGCAGGAAATGCTGAACTTAGCTATCAAATATAACAAGGCTGTTCAAGAGGAAGATGAGCTGCCTCCAGAAAAGCTTGCTATAGCAAATGTGGGAAGACAGGATGCGAAGAAGCATCTTGAAGAGCACGTCTCAAATTTGATGTCTTCCAACATCGTTCAAACTCTGGGAATGATGCTTGATACTGTTGTCTTCTAGAGTCGTTATTCAGGACCTTCTGGTTTCTCTAGCGTGGTAAAGAGACAAATTGAGTTATTACAATTCCTGTTTTCTAATTCTTTTGAAACTATATTTGAGGACGGATATATTCTTTGGACGAGCTGAAAAGGTCAAGAAAGTAAAACTCAGAGCATAGTAGTTTGGTTGGTGTCTCCCCCATTATTACTATTACTGGGTATCTTTATTGTTATTGCTGGATGTTATCTTCTATAAATTTGTCTTTATCAACACAAAATGTCTGTTATGTTTTAAAATACCATAAGAATCTCGGTTAACATTACGTAAACAATGAAAACAATGCCCTTGCAACCACCCCCAACAAAAAAAAGAAAAAAAGAAAAAAGTTTAAGCTCCAAATACCAAATATTAGATTACAGATGCAGCATAATTTAAAGTCAAATATAATGCTGGCTGTAGAACTAATGTAGAGAGGTTTTGTAGCCACGCTGTGGTACTTTCTTAAAAGTAGCCCATATGAGATCAATGTAGAGTGGAAATTGAGCCAAGGCAAAAAGTGTCACTGGCAGGCATGTCACGGCATATACAGGAAATGCAACAGATTTGAGTTTGTCCTTCAGCACAAAGAAATGGCCAGTACAGAAACAAACCATCATGGACGTAATGGACATGAACAACGATGTCAAACCTAGGATCAGCTTCCTGGGAAGATTTTTTCCAAAATCACGTTCTTGAAACCGAGATGTGAGTATTGAGAGGAACATCACCAGGGAGGTGACCGAACAGCAAAGAGCAATGAGAGATGAGAATGCAAATGCTTTGAATTCTGGCATGTTTTCAAGGGTTGGGGCGCCGGTGTCATCTTTGAAGTCGCCGGGGACACTAGTGGATGTGGAAAAGGCCACAGTGGCTATCAGGGCTGCTACCAAGGAGCATGATTCAGAGGTTTTTTTCAACCATTCTCCGCCACTCTTGACAAGGTCCTTGTGAGTTTCGCTGAAAATATCTCTTGGCGTCTTGTTTTCATTGTTGTATCTACGAAAGAACTGAGGTGACATCGATTCCTTAACAAACTGCATCACATCATTAGGGGAGCTCAATGACCAAAAATACTCATGATTTTACAGGGATAATGTATAGTTGGATTCAAATTAAAGCACTAAAGAGTATGTCCCTTTTTATGAACATGTTTAAATACAAGTTTAATTTTTTTTTTAAAGTTAATTATACTGGAAATAATTTTTGAGAGCTTTTTTAGTTTTTGGTAAAGAAGCTCATAAAGCACTTATTAGTTTGTTATCAAAATAGGCTCTCTATATTCATTTTGACTAGTTTGAAAATCGTAATGATCATAAACTTACCAAGTACCACTTGATTTCCCAATGCATTTGCAGAGCTTCACCAGGAATGAGCCAAGGCTTGTAGTCTCCAAGCTTGGCTGCCAAGTGCAATACACTGTTTCCCTCTCTATCCACTGCACCGAATATACTTTCCTTTAAATTCTTCTTCCGCAAGAAGTCATATAAATACGTTTGCCTGTTCTCTACTGCCAATAGCACTATATTTTTCTTCATCGCATCAATGTCATGAACAGCTACCGGAATCAAGTCTATGATTTTGTCTACCATTTCTGTCACACCGTTCCTCGCAGCAATTAATATCGGTGTCTCCGGCATCTTTTGTTCATTTTTCTTTTCTCCTGCTCATAAAATAACAATAATAATATTCTAGCTACCAACACTAATCTAATTATCATAATTAAATACTCAAAGAAAAGATGAAGCACAAATCTATATATATTGAACCAAGTTCATCTTTCATAATCAGATTAATGAGTATTAATTTTTCCCCCCCTCAAATACGAGTGATATTACACAAATTGAGTGGCAACACTGATAGACACCCCCTTGCACTAAATCAATATATATTTCAAAATTTTAACCGGCAACCAATTTCTACTAGTTACTTAATGCTTTACCATTCTTTTGTTGCTTGGCCTCTCCATTGGTGGTGGAAGGTTGTTCTTCAGTGATATCACGCAAAGTAGCCCTACCCTTCTCATCAAAATCATAAGGACTTGTCTCTGGATCTTTATCCCCCGGTATGCTGCCGCCATTTTCATCATACTCATACAAGCAAGCGAGCTCCAGAAGTTTTTCCATTATTTGAGCAGACCATACGTGTTTTTCCTTTTTCTTCCGTATCCTCCTTATCATGTCTGACCCTTTTGTGGTTTGTTTTATTAATACAAAAACAAACATTATTAATTGAAAAAAAATGCCACTTCTGTAAACTATAAAATGAAATGATCCAAATGGGTTAGTTTAATTCAACCTATTTCATCAATTTGACCGGACATCAATTCAGACCAAACCTACGTATAATAATTTCTTCATCGAGCCAGGATACTCAGGACAGGGTCTCAATCAATAAAATAAAAAAAAGACTTGGTTTGAACGGGCTTACCAGAAATAGAAGGGCTGGTAAGAACTCATGTTTTGTAGAGTCAAATGAAAAAATAAAAAAAAAACACTAATGAGTATAAATAATAACCACTTGTGTCCTAATAAAGTTGTATAGGGTTTGAATCATACTACGCTCAGGGTCTGAGAATTTGAACTTACAATCCTTTAACTTCAAATCATGCAAAACCCAAGTTCTTTCCACTCTAGCTATATAGTGTTAACCTTACTATTGTCTGCTCATAACATAAAAAAAAGGATGCAATATAGAAATAGAAGGATCTCACTCAAGTGTAGAAAGCTTTTTTTTTTTTTTTTTGGCTACAAAAGTATATGTACCTTTTTTTTAGATTAGTTTATTTTAGACTATAGCATGATCTTGCTGGTCAAAGTTTTTATTTTTATTTTTAAAGTCATCCAAATACCTCCATTCAAATTAAAGTTTGTGTATTTCCTCAAAAAATGAAATAAAATTAAAGTTTGTGTATATGTAAAATTTATTACTTGCAGAATTAAGGACAAACTTATAGAAGAGGTATAATGAGCATAATTAATGCGAAAAATAGATGAATCTGTAGCTGAATATGTTCATGGAGACATACCTGTTCCCAAGATTACCGACATTACCATAAGTACAAACTTGAAGAAGTCCACACAAGTTCTGTAATTGGTTGGAAATAATGGATGTGACCAATTGCTGGTTTCTGATCCTAAACAAATGATATGATAGGGTAATGAGATTTATGCTAACTCATACAGTCATACTCTTCTGTTATTTATTTATTTATTTTTTATTTATGTTTCTTCAATTCGCTTGTAAATAGGTTTTTTTTTTTTGGGACCAAATTAGGGGTGTAAGTAGATACGGGTAACTCGTGAACCCGAACTGACCACCAATCCAATAAATTTGAATTGAATTTTTTCGGTGTTCGGGTTACACTTAACCCAACCCAATCAAAATTCGACACTGTACAGGTTGGATAACGGGTTTTGTGTTTCTAACCCATTAACAATCTGATCATAAATAATAATAAAAATAATAATAATAATAATAATAATAATAATAATAATAATAATGTTTGAATGATCATTTGTTCAGGACAATACTTATTGTCACTCTTATTTAATAATAAGTTTTGTATTTTAGGTTTATAACATTGTAAGAATATAGTATATTTAATTTAAATTTTATTTTGTATTAATTAATGTTGGTTTTTTAAGTTGATAATTATGTAACAAATTAATAAATTTATTTTAAAATTTAATTTGTATCATTATTTCTTTATAAGTTAATAACATTGAATTTGCAACAATATATCAAATGATTTATATCTATTTTAAAATATTTAAATTTTTATAATAAATAAAAATAAATAAAATTATGTTGACCAGATTAATACAACCTAACTTGTTCATGATTGGGTTGGATTGGATTAAATTTTTTAAAAAAAAATTGTACAAATCTAATCCAAACACAATCTTTTACAAACACAATCTTTTAAATTTTGATTGGTCGAGTAACGAGTTTATCCAATTCTAACCAACTTACAAGTTACACCCGTAGACCAAATGGTGTGTGGGAAACACGTGTACTAATTTGGAGAGTTGACAAAGCAAGATGAGTCACATGCGTAGGCTCACGTATGAGATGAAAGTGAAGCACCCAAATCTATTATTATGTATACGAATTGTATTAAAAATTAACAATTTAGTCCTGACCTGAAGAATTTTTTCCAGCTCCATTATTTTTCGACGCTTCAATGTCTCTTTGAGTTCCATTTTGATCGTTTTGTGGCAACTTTTTATTTACAAATTGTGTCAAGGGATGAGTCACTGCATATGTAGAAAGTGAACCAAATCACAGTATGTAAATTGTGGTTGTTAAATGATAGTACTATTCATTAATAAGTTGAGGGTTATTTTATTTATTTTATTTTTTTAATCCATGAGAATTAAACACATATATTAAGGGAATTTACAACACTTACAAACTCTACTCAATCAACTGAGTTAGACGCCCTTAATAAGTTGGGTTTGAACAATAATTTTCTCCGGAATTCTGTTTGTAAATAACCGTGATAGTACGTAGATACCTATCTATAATACATTGTCTAAATAAAAAAATTATTATAAAAATAGGGAAGGTTTTATAAATTTTCTCAATTCAAGAGAGAGAGAGAACATATAGGAGTATTTTTTTACATACCAACTGAGGTGAATTTTTTTGTCAGCCTCCATAGCTCTATAAACGTCCGGTAATTTCCTGGATAATTGTTTTTTTCTTTGTTGGCTGTTGGACAATGCAAGTGAAGCTTGGTTTCAACTTTGAGCTCCTTGACAACAATTGCTTCCAAATAAATAACACACGCATTATGATTTTGAAAAGTAACACACATATTAACATATATAGAGAGATTCAACATTATGGGTAACTTTTGGCAAAAAAATCTGCTTCAATTTTCTACTTGTAAGTAAATTCAACCCGGTAAAGTTCTCTTTCAAGTGAATGTAAAGCCATCTAAACTCATAATATATATATATATATATATGAGTTTAATTCAACTCTATAAAATTAACTTATAATATATAAAGTTATTATTCACGTATATATTATGTTATTCGATTAAAAATTTATATTATTTCATATGACAATTTCGATAGACTCTGATAATATTTTAAAAAGTAAGTGTATTATAGAGAGAGAGAGAGAGAGAGAGAGAGAGAGAGAGAGAGAGAGAGAGAGAGAGAGAGAGAGAGAGAGAGAGAGAGAGAGAGAGAGAAGAGAAGAGAAGAGGGTTATAATAATACCGATGTAACTTTTACTAAGAGCATCTCCAATGCTAGGTTCTTATCTGGTTCTTAAGCTTAAGCTCTCATTACTTATAAGAAACCTGCATTGGAGCATGCTGACATGACAGGTCAAATTGCTAAAATTTAAGCACCGTTACTTATATAAGAGACGGTTTCTTAAGAATAAAAATAATTTAATATTTCCACTGATGTCAACAACTATAATAATTAAATTTTTTAAAATTTATTAAAAATGAAGTATGAGTAATTAAAAAGTGGAGGTGCTTATAAACAACTTTCATTGGAGTAAAAATTATAAAAATGTAATATAAGTTACTTATGAGTGACATGGCACTGTGGGATTCATTTAAAGTTGATGAGAGTTGTTTATAAACAACTCCCATTGTATGCTCTAAGTATTATACTACTCAATAACTATATATTTAAATATAAATTTTATAAATTCAACTGTTAGATTGAAAGTTCATATCACCCTATATATTTATATCAAAGTGTTTATATTTTAGTATATTTTAAATGTATATATTACATCAATTTTGTTTTATAAGAATGAAGTATCAAATCATTTTGAATTAATATAAAATTTTGTATATATGATCTGATAATAAAGAACTTTCAATCTAACAGTTGAATTTACAAAATTCACATTTATAATAAAGTTATTTAGCGATGAAATACTCAGTAATAATTACACTAGTGTTATTATAGTCATCCTTATATAAACACACACACACACACACATATATATATAATAAGGAAGGATCCACTTACTTAAAGAGTAAGTCTACCTATATTTATTTCACTCAATAATTCATATTCTACATCAAATTTCAATGATATAATTGATAAATTAAAATTTTTAATGCTTAAATCAAATTTAAAATTTTTATTTTTTTTTAAAATTATTTGATACTTTGTTATGTAAATTTAAATCAAGGTATAAAATATTAAATAGTTTTCAAATTTGTTAAAAGTTTGCAGATTTAATCTATACATTAATAACTTCTAATTAAATTGTTAGATCGTTAAAATTTGATGTAGAACATGAGTTATTAAGTGAAATAAGTCTAGATAGACTTATTCTTGGAATAAGTGAATCCTTCTTTTACCTAAATTTACTTCAAATTAAAAAATAAAAAAATATTTAATATTTAGTTTCATTATTTCAAATTAACATATAAAATATTTTTATGATTAACCGCATCAATTTGAATTAATGAGATAGAGTATCAAATAATTTTTAAATTTTCTAAATTTTTGCAAACATAATGATTAGATTTTTGAAATTTGATGTAAAACATGAATTATTGAATGAAGTAAGTTTAAACAAACTTACTCTTGGACTTACTCTTGGAGTAAATGAATCCCTTTACACACACACACACTAGGAGGATCAAATAATACTAGTGTAATAAATTTTACCAACTATTATATCGTTTAATAATTTTATATTAAATGTGAATTTTTTTAATCCAACTATTACATTATAATTTCATATAACCTTGTATGTTTATATTAAATTTTATTAAAATTAAACAACAATTTGAAGGTAATCAAAGTGTTCAAATTTTAGTATATTTTAAAATGTATATATTATGTCAATTTTATTTTATAAAAATGAAGTATCAAATCATTTTAGATTAATATAAAATTTTGTATAAATGATCTAGGGATAAGAAACTTTTAATCTAACAAGTAAATTTTAAAAAATTCACATTTAATATAAAATTATTAAATATTATAATAGTTGAAAATTTTTACTAACTATTATATTAATAATGGATGATCATTAAACTCTCTAGCTAATACTGTTGCAACAATAGCTAAACCTTTTGTAACTTTTAGTCAACATCTTATTCATTAAGGGTAGAAATAGGCAAAATCAAGCTTTGGTGAGTCAATTTTTTTTATTTGCAAATATTAATTATTAGATATTAAGTTAATGAGAAGATTCAAATCCACACTTTCTTATCACTCCAACTTTATCCCTCTCTCGAAACCACCAGACCAACCTTACCACCCTACTAGTGAGCCTAAGCTTGACATATAACAAAATTACAAAGATTCATTTTGACTTATTTACTCATTATAACTCTTTTTAAGTTTGAATTGGGTTGTTTATGTCACCTATTTTATACCAAGTCTATAAATAAGTCAATAGGTCTAAGTAGGCCAATAGGCTTGTAAGCTTACATAGACTAATAAGTCTAAATATTAAATACATTATTATTAATAATTATATATTAAATAAAATAATAACTATAAATTAATATATCATATATAATTCATAATATTATTTTATTTTAAATAGCCTAACCTATCTTGTGAGAAGAGAACCAATGTGCAGATTGATTAGTCAAACAAAAATCTTCATAACAATATTTTGTTGTTTTGGATTCGTGTCTTCACCGTCTTAATCTTCTTTTGTTAAAAGATTCAATGAATATGCCTTTTGCAAGGTTTTAGTTATTTTATGTTTCTGATTGATAAAAGGATATAGCCAAGCCTAACATAAGCTTAAAATTTAACATTTTTAGTTAAAGAGGTTTTTGAAAAACCTAAATTTGACCATTTTAATAAACAAGTCTAGTTGCAAGCCTAACAAATTGTTTGATTTATTTTCACTCTTACTCATCATCCCCGAACTTTAAACCCATAAATGGTTATCCATTCATTTACGATCCCACTTGAAGAAATTATATTATTGATTTTTAACTAATTTATAGAAAAGAATTAATTTTTGAAATGTTCTCACTAAGAAGTAAGGATAAACTCTTATAAACACAAAAAAATAATATAAATATAAAATTTATATTACTGCGATGCTACCTAGCTCAGCCACGCCGAACTAGTGACAACAGTTGCCCACATGAGAGTATGAGACCAGTGGGATGGACTTGACAAGCACACTACGGCTTGGCCTCCTTATGCATCGGTTACATAATATATCCACTATCCCTTTTACATGACTCTTTCAATTCACACTTACACTCATCGGAGCCAAGGAGTGAAGGATACATAATACTTCTTAACTATTTTATTAATAACCATTATTATTTTTTAAATAAAATAAAAACTAACTAGTCCAGTGATAATTGGATAGAGTCTACAAAAATATATTTGGATTTTCCTATCTTCTACCAAAAATATAATATATATTTGGATAGACTCATAGACATGAAAAGCATCTTTTACACAAGAAATTAAATACCAACGTTTCAAATTTCAATAATCCATTCTTAATTATGGACAAATATTGATCATGATGTTTCTAACTAAAGTTGATTATAAGCTCCTTGTCTTGTAGAAAAAAGATAAGGTTAGATTTGAACTCCCACATATCTTTATTCATTTATTTTAGTTTGACAGGGTAACATTCTTCAAAAAAAATTTAAAATATTAAGTGAAATTTCATATCTTTTAACTTTTACATATGTTAACACTTACCGTAATAAATAATTGCTTCAAATCGTCCCAAGTGGCAACCACTCTTGAAAACAGAAGGCTTATTTGCCAGGACATGAAGAGGAGTGAAGCCATTCTCGTTCGTCCAGTTTGCAAGATCTCCGTATAAATTCATTATTTGGAATGCCAAATCTGTCAAATAAATTTTATATATAAATAAATTAATTATGCGCTAAAATAAATAATTTATTTAAATAAGTATACTCTTTAATTTTATGTATATTTACCTACACCTTTCAGGTTATTATTATATTCTTTTTCCAAATCTGCTTTACCTCACACTCAAATTTATATCCTCTTCTTTTATTGACAAACCATCGATTGCAACTATCCAGTTTTACAAAAAAATTGGTGTTTAGTTATAACACTCATTTATACACGTCGTCCATGTAATGAATTTTTAGAGAACATAAGAGTCTAAATTTTCTACGAAGCCAAAGAAGAATTAAGTTTCCATGTTTATGTCTATACTAACACGTTATGAGATGAATGTATATGAGAATATAATTATTTATAATAAACATATCCTGATAGTATAATTTTGTTTGCGTCAACAATTAATTATAGATTATAGAATAAATTACACTTTTAGTTCCTTTTTTATATATATTAATTTGTAATTTTAATTCCCTTATTCTAGAATAGAGATATTTAGTCTTTTTTTTAATAATTATAAAATTAATTTATTGTTCAATTATATCATTTAATTTAAGTGATGTGACTTGTAGGAATAAATTTTTTTAAAAAATATAACATTTAAAGATTCTCGTTTATATATATTTTAATGAGTGAATGATATTTATTTTGTTAATAAATCTTATTTATATTTTTTAGAATTTTTTTTATGTCTGAAAGTCATATCACTAAATGTTACATCACTTGAGCATGAGTAGAAGCTAAAACATAATAATTAATGAATGTTAATTTGGTGGGAGAGCCAAAATTTATATTTTTAAAAATAGGAAGACTAAATGTTTATTCTAAAATAAAAGATTAAAATTATAAATTGAAAAAAAAATAGAAAGATCAAAAGTATAATTTAAGCTAATACATATAAACATAAATGAAAGGAGAGATTTGACTAAAGGTGGTCAACTAAATTTATCGTTGAAAATTAATTATCGACAAAATTAGTAATTATTGCACATCAATAGTATAAGGTTTAAACATGTTTTTAATTTATGTAAAATAAGTGAATTTTGAATTTAATATTTGTAATTTTTTTATTTTTATCCTTCTAAAATTTATAAACATTATTTTGTTCTTTATGAAATGAGTAAATTTTATTTTTATCCTTATAAAATATTTTCTTTTGCTTTCTGTCCCTCTAAAATCTAAAATCATAATTTTAGTCATTAACAATCATCTTAAGATAGATAAATAACATCTATTTTAAAAATTTACATAATTTTTTAAATGTATTAAACATTGACATAATAATTGTGGATAACATTTTTGAATGATCTCTTAACCTTTTAATAAATAAAAAATAGTTAATAATAATCATATAAAAAATAGAAATCAAAAACAATATTTAAACCATAATATAATTACAAATGAAAATAATAGGTCTTAGATTGTGTCCGAAAAAACTATAAAAATTAAATTATTTCAAAACTCAATTATTGTTATAATTCATTATAATTAAATTAAAATTTTATTTAAAAAAGTTTGCTTATAAGTGATTTTTATATTTAATTTTTTTTGGATACAATAAAGAAAATATTAAAAAATAATTATTAATTTCAAATTTTAAACTTTATAAAAATAATTTATTTTTTTAGAAAAAAACTGTTTATAAAATTAAGTTGTTGTTTCAAACACAACTTTTTATTTTTTGCAAGTATTTTTTTTTTCTAAAGAAACAACCGAAATGGGAGATTGTAAAATCGCTAAACACAACCTTAGTATGAATTTTAAGAAAATTATTATGAAATTTAACAAACTTAAAAATAATAATAAGTGATTTTTTTAATTATGTAAGGGACTTTGTCACTAATTTTTTTATAAAAAAACAATCTACTCAAACTAACGAGTTCATGATATGATGTGTGATTGAAGGATAGTTTAATAATTAATCTTATCTTTTAAACTTAGATTTAGAATGGATGAAAAATAAGTGAAAAAGAAGGAAGTGATGAATGGGTTACCAAAATAATCTCCAGCAATGGCAGAATGAAGAATGGTGTCACCATCGGCTCTTCTGCAGTTAGAATAGTAGTTGGAATCCTTTGGGTTGGTGTGGTAGATACAAGAGTAATGAAGGGTCATAAAAGCTTGTTTTCTGCCATGGAGAGCAGCGAGAAAGAGAGGGGTCTCTCCATCAACGTTGCGAACGCTCAACAACGAAGCATCCGCAGAAGCAATGCACTCGCACATCTCCACGCTCCCCATTGAAGCCGCAAAGTGCAAGGCCGTGTTCTTTCTCTCATTCGTAATTCCCAAAGCCAATTTGTCCACGGAGCAAATCAGTTTCACAAGTTGCAGCACGACGTCGTCTTGACCATCGGTGACTGCTACATGCAATGCAGTGTCACCTGTCCTCGTTATCCTTTCAGTGTGAGCATTCTTTTCCTTCTCGTACGTTTCAACCACTTTCTTCCATTTTCCTTTCATGCAAAGTTTGAACAAACGCTTGTTTGTTTTTTCTATCTTCCTATCATCATCATCATCTTTGCCTTCCATCACTCTAAACTTTTCTGCCTAGCCCAATCTGGCAATTCTTTTCCTATTTGCTACAAATTATATATATCTATATAATGTTCGGCATTCTTCTTGTTTGCTACGTATTACGTTACTTTATTTTTCCCCGGCCCTATCTTTTTTACTTTTTACTTTTTTTTGGTTTTCATATCAAGTTATTCCAACCGATAGTGACGGAACGATGAATATTTTATTCTCCAATCAACTATCCTTCTAATTAACTCAACTTTCCCCTCCTTTTTCCCCCACCTTCAATCAAAAAAAAGGTTATCAGTGATCAAGAATGCGTATTGGATGGTTCGGGAGAGTATCGGTGCCGTGTTTCATCTCCAAGCAAAGTCATGAAATTACTTTCTCTGTCGTGCTATAACTTTTCTCTTTCTTTGCGCTTTACCCCTCGCACATCACGCGTGTACGATCAAATTAGTTCAAGTTGGCCATGGAAGAATTGGCCAAACACAAAACTAAATCTCCTTAGGATCGTGCAAAAGTCCACAGTCCACACCTTTTTCTATACAGGATGAACGTACAGATGACGGATGCTGCACTTAGGAGCCATGCATGCATCTGTGAGCCGAAGCAGCAGTATTAGTATACATACCTGTGGATTTTCTAAGCCAAATTATGGTCTGTGTTTCCAACACAAAGAAGGAGAAATTTTTTAGCAACAAGTTATGTGTTAATCACATAATCTTAATCTAAAATCTCAAAACTTCAAATCTATATTTTTTTTCATTTATATATTATTTAACATATCTAATTTAAGAGGTAATAAAATAGGTTATGACTAAATAATATGAGATACAAATTTTAATTTGACCAACTTATCTTAGTTATAGTCAATTAATCTATTTAATTTTTAAATATTAATTTTAATTTATTTTGTAACTTATTTTAAGATTTTATAGTTCCCTTTATGTTTATTTTGTAGACTTTGTAGTGAAATAGTCTTATTATTGAAAAATTAGTACTATTTGTATTGTGATACCTAATAATTGTTATAATTTCAAATATTTACTAGTATAAAAAAGGTATTTTGCGTCGGTTATTTTGGAGTTTTTACGTTGTAAATACGTCCGACGTTAATGTGGGAGACGTAAATTTACGTCAGATCTACCATGTTCGACGTAAAACATCCTCCCCATCATCGACGACGTCTACCTCTCCCGCGTCGCTGACCGGAAGCCCTAGGCCAACTTCGAGGTCGTCCTCCTGACCCTCTACGCGCATGGAACAACCTCACGCGCCACTCAACCGCTCTCCATCATAACCCCCGACCTCACAAACCTCAACATCTACCACGACCTCAACAAAACTCAGAAGATTAACCTAGGTCAGAAGATTAGTCTAAAAACTTATATCAAACTTTATACATTTAATAATTTTTTGCACTAACTTTAAATCCCAACACCTTCAAGTACCCTTGAACGCTAACCTAAGCAAGACGTGCACCAAAACTTTAATATAATCAAATAAAACGATCTGTAATGATGAATGGACGTCATCACCACCGTTGCTGCCGTTCAATAACGTCACCGAAAACACTCAGGTTGCCTATAAACTCGTCGTCGAAAGTCGCCTAAACGTTTTCTGCAACTAAAACCCTCGAGCGCGCGCAAAGAAATGAGGTAGGAGAAGGGATATAACAAGTTTTTAACTTGGGACATCACGAGGTACGATGTAAATTTTTAAATCTACGTCAGACTATATAGAGGATCGACGTAAATTTTAAAATTTACGTCGAACCTTGTGGTGTCCGACATAAAAAATTTAATTCAAATTTTAAAAATACTATCGCGTTTTTTTTACGATGAGTTTCTCGTTTTCCGATAACAAAATAGTGATGTAAAAAACAGATTTTATGCTAGTGATTCCTTGTTAGGAATTATAATAGAGGATGGATCAACTTCCATAACTGGTGAAGTAAGCTACAAAAATATATATATATATACTCGCACACGAAGCTACATGAATATCTTTTCTCACTAAAGATAGAGGATAAATATAATATAAGGATAGGTATGAGAGAGAGAATGGTACGTAAGGTATTTGAACGTAAAAAGAACTAAAGCAGAGTGGCTTTGTAGCTGCGATGGGGTATCTTCTTGAAAGTGGCCCTTATGAGATCGAAATATAGGGGAAATTGAGCCAACGCAAAGAGCGTGACGGGCAAGCATATGACAGCATACACAGGAAGTGCAGCATTCTTGAGTTTCTCCTTGAGCATAAAAAAATGGCCAGCGCAGAAGGAGAGCAGCATGGAAGTGATTGACATGAACAAGGACGTGAGACCGAAGATGAGCTTTCTTGGAAGATCTTTGCCGAAATCTTGCTCCTGGTACCGCGACGTGAGTATCGAGAGGAACAGCGCCAGCGAGGTCACGGAACAGCACAGAGCAATCAGTGATGAGATCGCAAACACGTTGAACGCTGGCCTGTCTTCCAGGGTTGGGATGCCCGTGCTTTCGTGGACGCCGCCGGGGACCGTCGTGGATGTGGCGAAGGCCACCGTGGCTATCAGAGCCGCCACCAGGGAGCATGATTCCGAGGTTTTGTTCAGCCATTCCCCGCCGCTCTTCACCATTTCCCTGTGCGTTTCACTGAAGATCTCTCTTGGCGTCTTGTAGTCCTTGTTGTACCGACCAAAAAAATGAGGTGGCATCGATTCCTTAACGAACTGCATTAAGTATAAATAATGGATAAAACTTACGTCAAACATTATAACCACACTTGGTGTTTCTAATCAGAATATTAAATGTCAATATATATTAATGAGATAGAGCTCTAATTTTGATTAAAAAATAACATTAATAATATTTATAACATTGTACTTAAGTTTTGCTCATTATGAGTGGTGTTGATTGTGTTTTGTTACAGTTGATCAGAAGACAATAACATGAGTATACTTATAATATAAGATGAATATAAATTTTCATCTTAAATAATGTATAAGTTTAGGGTTGAGAAGGCCATATAATGTAATTGAAATGATTAATGTACTTACAAAGTACCACTTGATTTCCCACTGCATTTGCAAGGCTGCGCCAGGAATGAGCCAAGGCTTATATTCTCCAAGCTTGGCTGCCAAGTGCAAAGCACTGTTTCCCTCGTTGTCCACTTTCCTGAATAAACTTTCCTTGAGAATCTTTCTCTTGAGCAGGAGCTCATACAGGTGTGGCTGCCTGTTCTCTATTGCTAACAGCACTATATTTTTCTTCTTCGCGTCCATGTCATGGATAGCAACCGGAAACAGTTCTAGGATTTTCTCTACCATTTCTGTCACGCCATTCTTTGCTGCTATTAGTAGCGGCGTCTCCTGGTTCACCTTTCCATCTACTGCACGCATATAGCAGTGAGTCTAAATAAAGAAGTAACTCATAGTTATAGAGAAATACTAGTAATAGACCTCCTAACACTCTTTTACTACCGCATTCTAAATATATAACAATTATTATTAATTCCCCTTTCAGGGTATTTCATTTTTAACCTAAATCCATATTTCAAAGTTTAAACTCATCAACCGTAATCAATATCTCTTTTACCCTTCTTATGTTGGGTGAGTCCTGTGATGGTGGAAGATTGCTGCTCTTCCATAACACTAACACTGGCAAAAGTAACGTCGCCGGATTTATCAAAACTATAAGGAGCTGTCTCGAGAGATTTATCCTTCAAGTATTGGAGGGGATTGTTGCCATTGTCGTCATACTCATACGTTGAAGCTCGCCTCAGAAGTTCATTCATTATTTGGGCCGACCACACGTGTTTCTCCTTCTTCCGCCGTATCTTCTGTATTCTGCTAGATCCTTTGTAGTTCAACACATACAAAAAGTGCCATATTATTGTTAATTAAAGTCATTATTTACATATATCAATAGAAAGGGACCCCAAAATTAGGATGTTTGTAGCTATTCGGTCTAATTTTTTACAAATCATACAAAGTGCATGCAACATAAAAGGATCTCACTCTCAAGTACATGTTTAAATAAACATTTTGTGTATTTTAGATTAGTTTAGTTTTTAATATAAATAAATAAAGCTTTCTGTTAATTAAGAGTTAAAAACAAAACACTGTTATCCAAAGACTCCCAGCCAAATTAGAGTTTATATTAAATGTGCGAAATTCATGACTCTACACAGCTAAATATGTTAATGGAGACATACCTCTTCCGAAGATTACCAACATTGTCATAAATACAAACTTGAAGAAATCGGCACAGCTTTTGTAATTGTCAGGAAATAATGGAGGTGACCTTCCTGATCCTGAACAAAAATTAAATGAGAAACATGCATTTGGTGAATGGACAAATGAAGATGAATCTCATGACATAGAATGAGATTGAGTGTATTGTATATACTTCCAACATATTATAACAAGTTTTGATGAGTATTGTACCAAAATCTATTATGATGTGAAGGACCAGATCAGAATGAGTCATGTCCATACCTGATGATTTTGTTTTGGTTCCATTAGTAGCTGTCTGTTGCGAAGCTTCAAGATCTGGTCGATTTAAAGTTCGATCTATTTCGATGAACTTATTGATTAAAAATCGTGTCACAGGGAATTTATTCGTCACTGGATATCATCAGTAAAAGAACCAATTCGCGGTTACAAATGTAGATGAGTTACGAATTTGAATGTTTCACTATTTAGCAGTACGTACTCATCATTTAATTTGTATGTATATCATTCAGGAAAATAAAATCTATATATTGCCGTAAAAAAAAGGAAAACGACTATATATTTATATCTATATATTTTGATTTTACATTTCTTCTACTAAAATTACGACATATTTTTTTTTTTTTTTAAACTTCTTTTACGTTAATACCTTCATTTATTTGATGCCCACCAAAAAGTACTTCATTTATTTTTCTTTCATTAACTTTTTAGTTATTTCTTATACATGAATTTTTTTCTTCCTTGTTTATTTATATATATATATATATATATATATATATATATATAA